TGAGCAACATAATGTGGATGCCAGCCAAATAAGATCTTATTTTTTTTTCAAATAAAAAATATATTCAATAGAAATATTGAATCTAGAAAACAACACATGAAATAGATAAAAACAACAAATTAAATAAATATATATATTAATAAATTATAAAATTATAATTTTTATTTTAAAAAATACAATACACCTATATAATTTATTTATCAATGCAAGTCCATTGATCAGGTAATAAACACAAAATAGTCCAGGTCATACTCTGGTCCCCCCTTTGCAGCTAATATTGTCTCCAAATTATGACACGACTTTTAAAATATAATTATTAAATAGATTAAGGTGAGAAAAAAAAAAATCTTTTTCATCCAAGAGTTAATAACAGTGCAAACTTATTTTGAGGAAGAGTGATGCAATTTAACTGGAAAGGATTTCTGTCACAAAATTTTATTAATATAAAATTTTTTAATTTAATGTTTGAATTTAATTTTTCTTTTTAAGATAATATTTTTAAAATTTTTTTAAAGTCCAGCTTTACTTAAAAATTTATTGTATGATAAAATCTATTGAATTACTTTAAAACTTCCTTTTAAATAAGTTAATAAATTTAAATTTATATATAGGTTAATAAATTAAAAACTTTAAATAAATCATTAAATTATAATCTTAGAAGATTATTATAAAACTTCAAGAAAAACAATAATATAATCATATTATTTATTTTTTTAAATAGAATGGTACATTAGGTTTAAAACAATTTTTTTAAATTTTCAATAGTATTATTCATTAATTAAATAAAATTAAAAAAAAGACTAATCTAATGTATTTTAGTTTTTTTAAGAATTAGAAAATTAATTGTCATATTACTATTGTTATATTAATCTTTGTTACTGTATGTTTTATTTAATTAAATTAAACATTTAATAGAAATAATTTTATACTAATCATATATAATACAAATAAATAATGCTTTGGGTAAAACTATTAATATATATATATATATATATATATATATATATTATCAACATATCAAATATTAATATAATACTTAATTTGTAGTATAAAATTTTAAAGTTGGTACTAATAATTTGGCTTTTTTATTTAATTAATACATTTTAAAAAACAAATTCCCAAAATATAATTTTTTTGAAACTAATTCTCTGTCTGGGCTTTTTTTTTGCCAGGTCAGAGGTAATAGCGGCCATGTACCGACGATAGTCTTTTTTTATAATTTTTTATTACTCTATCGCCCACATATGTCTGATACTAAAGCATAATCTGCACGTGGATATTTAAAACGGCAGAAAAAATAAAAATAAAAACAAATATTAGTATCGTCCAGTTTTTGACGATAGTAATTTGAAATGGACGGTTGGGGATGAAGTTCGACACGTGTCGAGATCGCATGTGTATCGGCTCTGACACAGCGACAAGGCTATCGTTGCATCCGTGGCGATACTCTCTGTGATACTGCCACGTGGCATATCGGGAACTGACGCCGCTCACGGCTTCTTCCCTTCGTCTTTCCCTTCCTCTTCGTCATTTTTCTCCATTAACGCCGGAACGCAAGGTAATTTGGAGCAGAATTTGTGAAGAAATAGGCTTTCGTTTGCAATTTTGTGTGAAAAATTGAAAGGTAAGAATTAATTTATTTAATTGATAATATTTTTGTTGAGTTTCATTTAGAAAAGAATAATCGATTTGAATTTAAATTTTAGGATTTTCGTGTCGTGAAGTGGAATAGAAATTTTTGCCGGCATTTGAGATTAGTGATGAATAGATAATACAGTTTGATGTATTATTTCTAATTTTTTTTTTATTTTTAGTATGTTTTTTTGTATTTATTATGAATATTGTGAATGTCAGTATAGAAAAATATTGTACATTTGGCTGGAACCGTAAAATAAGGAAAAAAATAATATATAGAAAATAATTTTTAGTATTTTTTAAGCTGTAATTTGTTTTTAAACTGTAAATTATAGATAAATTTTATTTTGTTGACTGTAATTAATATAGTTGTTAATTTATGATGAAAAAGATTATATGTAGATGTTGGTTGATATTTAAAAAATATATGTATAAGTAGTGTAATTTTGTTATTAGTTGTAATATTATGTTGTAGAAAAAAAAATATAAAAGTTATAATACTTAAAATATAAAAAATATATAAATCCAGTTAAATCATAAAATATTAAATTACACAATTAGTTATATTAATAAAGATAATAAGATAAATATATTATTAACTAAAAAGTATGAAAAACTATATTATATTAGTTCTAATATTATGTTTAGGGAAAAAAAATATAAACGTTATCATAGTAAAAGCATAAAGAAATATTAAAATTTAGTTATATCATAAAATATTAAATTTAAAATACACAATTAGTTATATTTATAAGATAACAAGATAATTAGATTTAGAAATAAAATTGTTATTAAGTAAAAAGTTTGAAAATCCTTGACATTTTATTAGTTGTAATATTATGTTTACGAAAAAAAAATATAAATGTCTCCAAACTTATTCCACGTGCAATCTTTATCATTTTATTATTTCCTTCAAACGTAACACTTTCATTACTTGAAAATATTCGACCGTTCCAATATACAATTATCACAAAATCAGTCATCCTGCATCAATAAATTATACTACTCAATTAAAACACATTTATTTATGTAATTGTTAATAACAAATGACCCAATTCATATTTCAATTCTATGTAAAATATCATACACTAGCTTGTTCAATTCTATGTTTTAATCGGATTTGGATACCTATCAATTACCACTTTCATTTTAATTATATATATTAAATTATTAGCAGTCAGCCACTACATAGCTAATGCGTGAATAATCCCCTAACAGCTTTACATGTTTATCATTATAAATTTTTTCTTATTTTCTTCCATAAACCTATTATAATAAATTATAAATACATACTTATCAACAAACTTACATATATATTATATTAATTTTATTTAAATCCTTCGTTTATTTTACTAATTTTTAATAAATAAACAAATTAATTTTAATTTTATACTAAATTTACACTATTAATACAAAAATATAAAATTAATAATAACATATACTAACCTCAATGTTCTTCCGCTCGCTCCTGCAGTTCAAATTGAATTTTTGGAACTTCCTTCGTCTATATATACCAAGTAAAATTGGGTAATATCCGATGGATAAAAGGATGCATTGTGCTACGTGTCAGCACATTAGCAGTATTGCCCCAGTCAAAGCGATAGAGCGGACGCCAGTTGACCACCGACACCGCTATCGTCGCAAAGAGTCTGATACTCGCCCCTGCTCTCCACGTGTCACAACGTCCACTAATATCACCCACAGTTGAGCAATAGACTCTAAAAAAATATTAAAATAATGCTTATCGTTTTTTTATCTTCGATACTAATATTTGTTTTTTCTTTTTATTTTTTCTTCCGTTTTAAATATCCACGTATCAGATTGTGCCTTAGTATTGGACGTATGTGGGCGATAGAGAAATAAAAAATTATAAAAAAAAGACTATCGTCGGTACATGGCCGATATTACCTGTGACCTGGCAACAAAAAAAAGTCCAGACAAAGAATTAGTTTCAAAAAAATAATATTTTAGAAATTTGTTTTTAAAAATGTATTAATTAAATAAAAAAGCCTAATAATTTACTTTTTTAATAAGTAAAGATTATCCTAACAAAAGTTATCTTAATATTTATAATTTTTGTTTGGTAGAGAATATTATCTCTAATATATTCATTTATTTGAAAAGAAAAAATAAAATTACTTTTATTTATTTATCTATCTGTGTATATAATTTTTTAAAAAAAATTAATTATTATCATTTATTTGAAAAGAAAAAATAAAATTACTTTTATTTATTTATCTATCTGTGTATATAATTTTTTTAAAAAAATTAATTATTATTATTTATATATTCACTGTATGATCGACTGACAGATAGGGGTGTGACCCATTTAATTAATACGAAAAAGAAAGGTTGCCATATAGGAGGAGTATTGAACGGGCAAATATGAATGGACAAGTAGATACATTACGTAAAGCTTCATTTTTATATATATATTTTTTCATTCGTACACTGTAAAAAAATTGATGTTTATAGATAATTTAACATTATATTAACTTTTATTAGTATAACTTTTTAATAAAAATTAAACTATTATATATGAATTTATATAAATAATATAATATATTATTTTAATAAACAATTTCTGCTAAGTTTACTGTAAAGATGCTGCAGGGAGCAGAAAGAAAAATAACAAAAAAGAAGAGAATATTCAGAGAAGAGGAGAATTTTCAGTTCGTCAAGATTGGTCATTAATTAAATTTGTCCTAGTCCATCTTGGTAGAATTTTCCTTGATAACTAAGCGAGTGATAAACACAAAATAGGGGTCTGTAACGTGGAAACTGACTTGGCACAGAAATGGACATAGAATTCAAAAGGAGCATCTGTATCGCCATTCTGTTAAATATATTGAAGATACATGGTTTCTCATGAAAATTCATTCAAGTCTCATCACTAAGGGCACCTAATGAAATCCCAATTTTTTCCAAAAAGTTTGCCAGTTGATGTTCGCAAAATTATCTACTAATGAATATAATGTACAACTATTTTATTTTAATTAAACGTTCATTTTGCAGAACATGCATGCTAAACAAAAGGGTTATATATATTTTTTAATAATCAGTTTAGGAAGAAATTTTCTACCACAGTTCATGCCATGTTAAGCAATAAGAATTTTCAAATTAGTTCAAAGAGTGCATATTGAGAATATTACTCGCAAGAAATAAATTTTATTTAATTACTATATGAAACGAAATACATGCCCCAGGAGAAGATATCCATGTATGGGATACAAACCATATATGTAGTCGAATATATATAAATCTTGGGAGATAAAAGTGCATTAATTTCAGTGTAGGAATTGGATCATATATATATATATATATATATATATATATATATATATATATACGTAGCAATATATATCTCACATGATGACGCAACCACTATCGTATTGATATTCATGAACCATGGTTGGTGGATAATAACATGATAATGGGATTGTGAACTGTTCCTTCTTTTCTTCAGCATCTTTTTTGTCTTTCACTTCTTCCACAGTTACGATGCTGGCATGGCCAAATTTCCTTCTCAACGCCTTAGTCAAGCAAACTGAATCGGTCCCTTCTCCGGTCACCGCCAATTGATCTCTATCTGCCCCTTCTATTGACACTGAACTCACACCTGTGCATGCATATACATATAGATATACATGCATGTTTTGGACCATTAACATTATTAAGTGATTAACTACATACAGTACAGAGCTAGTTGTCTTGTTCATGAATTAATATTCATGGTGTAATTAATAAGCCTAATCAATTCTTTTAATACAACAAAATAAATGTACCCTTTGCCGCTGCCGCCATTTTGAGGGCCTTGCTTCTGCATTTGTCGCAGTTCAGGTGCACCTTTATAACCATCTTTTGCTACACAAATAGGAATTTAAGTCAAATAATTAATACTGTGCCCTTTGCCAGCTAACACTTGAATGATAAACCCTTCAACAACATACAATCATTCATATTCGTTCATTAGCATTGATCTTACCTTCTTCATGCTTGATATGATTTGTTCCAAAATCAAAGGCTAGCTCAATTAATGTGTGATTTGTGCTTTATTTGTGGTGGAGAGTTTTTGCTTTTGGTTGTGTATTTATAGAATGGTCTAGCTGCCTAGTACATTGTTTTATTAGCTGACTCAAGGTAAACTCCATTCACGCCAAAATAAAACTATCTATGTAAGCTAGACTTTTTCGTGTATAAAGCCTTGACTGACAAATACGACCTTCGTCAATGAATATAAGCTTGCCAAAAAATATTAAAAATTACATTAGATTATAGTGAAATTCGCCATGAGAATGAATAAATTAATTATATTTTTCAATGATTTTTTATTTTAATTTTTTTAACAAATATTTTTACGACATTAATTAATATAAACTCCATCTATTTTTTATTAATTAATATTTAAATGAGACAGAGAGAATTCAACAGTTGCATATTTTAATAGAAAAAATAGTAACATCACACGCATTAAAATGAAATTAGTTTATGGTCAATTCATACTATTCTAGTTTTCAGCATGATTGTGGTCCATTCTCACAATTAGTAATCACAAAGTTATTTTCGTCAACTAGGAAGAATTAATTTTATTTTCCTATAAATCACTATATAATTATTATGTTAAAAAATATTATTAAAATTTAAGTTGAGAATTGATTCGTTTCTCGAAGGATTAATAGTAACATAGCCTTTTCATATTCTTTTGTTAATCTTCATAATAATTCTCTTACATATTTTATAAAATAAATATTAAAAAAATTATGCATTTGTTATCTTTAAAATATAAAATATATTTAATATTTTTTTATTTGATAATTATGATTAATTATAAATAAAAGTAAAAAAAAAAGAATTATTCAAAGTAGTAATTAAGCAAGCATTGACTAGACCCACAAACGTTTTTTGGTAGACAAATACAGCATCAATACTAATCAGACTGATAGAACAAAGCCATCAACGGACGAGCCCAGTAAATGATCATTGAAGCCAAACAGCCAGCGTTAACGTGCATTTTCAACCCAACCAATTAAATTTGACCCAAAAAAAATCAAACCCAACCACAAAGGGTGTCTTTAACATTCTACTGAGAGGTGTAGTTTGTGTTCGAGAAGCATTGTGTATAGAGTTAACTTTGATGAAGCTATGAATTGTATTATATACATTTCTAAATAATACAACTAGCATCACGTTTTTAATATATTTATTATGATTGATTAATTTTTAAAAAATGATCAATTTATGAGAAAAGTTTGTTAATTATTTAAAAAATTAATTAATCATAGACCAGCATAATGAATAGAAGAGTATAAGAAACTAAGCATACATAAATATTAGAAAATAGACTCTCAGCATCCACAAATTAAGGGGCAGATATTGAACTCCTCATTTGATTAATTTATCTACTATCGACTGAAACTAGAAAGCAACATCTCTCGTCCACATATCCGATGAATCCTTGTACACAGAAAGACTACATCAGCATTGAGTTAAGCTCCAAAAGTTGACAGACACTGGATTTCTCTGTGAATGATAATTTGTTAATCCAAATAAGTTATTTGCAAGTGGCAGGCCGAGCAAGTTATTTTCTTTGTGAAAAAGGAAAAAGTTTTATATACAATAATCACTAATCAGTACGACGCTATGATATTTCATATTCAACAATACGATAAAGGGTATAGTTTTCAAAAGTCTAATACCATACTAAACAATGACTCCACCAAAGGTTATGGCAATACTTCTACATCGCAAGCAAAACAAAACCGTAAAAAAGGTTTAACTATTTATATTAAGTTAAACAGAAGGAATTTAACAAAATAACTAACATACCCCTGTAAAAAAAAGTTTTCAGGGACTATTAGTGATTTTTTTTTTTAAAAAAAATTAAATTGGATCTATCAAAAGTTTTTGTACACCATTTTGACTATTCACTTGTTTTTTTTTAATTAGTTTTGTATTGAATTTCACTCAAGTATAAATTTAAATTAGATTATTAATAAAATTTTGTGTCTAAAATTGATAAAAATTAGATGCATTTAGCCAATATAATTATTAAATTTAAAGATATGTTTTTTTATATAAAAAATTAAACAAAAATAGTTAGTATTTGTTACCTTTAAAAGTTTCATTCGAGTCGAATAAAATTGTCTCACAAAATGTAGTTATATTACAAATTCTGATAAGTGTCTTCCTTCAATTGGTATCTATATTTTCTACAATATGACTAGGCATTCCATAAAGGTCAAGGCGCTTCAGAGAATCCAAATTTTTCACATTAAAAAGTGGCTGAAAACAATTGCCTCTTGCCTCTATTTGTCATTGTTTAACCAATCAGACTCAGAACATTTGTTCATAAACAAATTTGGTAGTGACCACTTAATAACTTAAAAAAGTCACGTGCATTTTTTTTTAATTTATTTTCATAATAATAACAAAGTGTTCTTACTTTGATGTAGTTTCACATTCTTGACTTTCTGGTTGATTTTAGTCAAAGAATATAATTTTATAATAAGTTTATTAAAAAATTTTTTAGAATTCTAAATGTTGTTTCAATTTGCCAATATTTATCTAATCATGATTTTAACAGACTTAAAATAATTGTTTATAAAAAAAGTAAATTTATATAAGATACGAATGCATAAATTAATTAAGGTCAATACTTTGAATGAATTAATCACGAGCCCATACAAACATTTCATTATATTTCATTATAAAGTGGTACTTGTTTGCTGTAATAGATACTAAGTCTGGACCTGGTTAAATGATAAGAAAAAAAAAATAGTTATACAACAGAAATAAACTTCTAATTTTTATTTAAATAATTAAACCTCTAAATTTAAATCTATTATCAAACTTTTAATATTAATTATTTATATCTAAATTCAACATTCTTATAATTTTATTAGGAGAATTATTTTTATTAGATATTATATTCTATTCGATTAACTGTTGTAAAAATTGTATGTTATTTTTTCAAGCTTTTACGTGACTATTATTAAAATTTTAATATTGACAGTTCATATATAATTGTATAATTTATATTTAATGTTCCGAAAGATCCATAAAAAATATATTCTCGTTAAGTATAAAATTGGCGCAAAATTAATATTTATAGAATTAAACAACTCTTCCATTTCTTCCATTTCTCGTGAGAGTGATTAACCATTGTTTAACACTGCAAATTCTATCCTACCCAGTCTTGTTCTCATGCCTCATCAAAAAACAATCATGTATTTCATTCTTTAGAAGTGTTTCTTTAATAGCGATTAAACATCTTTGTTATTAATTTCTTTAATAGCGATTTTGTTATCCTCTTGTTTACACAGTTTTTGCATTATAATCTTAAGTCTCTTTAATTTCTCTCCTTTTACTTGTTACACAGGTCTTAACAACTATTCTTTTACTTTGATACAAATATTTAAAATCTCATTAATTATTCTATTAAACAAACAACTAGTTAAATCGATAATACCACACTGTAGATGTACTATCATATCGTGCACTAAAAATTAATATTATTTACATGTCATGTTTCAGTATTTTGTTACATTCTATTGATTGTGTTGGGGTTGAAAAACTAAAATGTCAAAATTTATGAAAATAAGTTTTTAAAAATATTTATTTTTTATATATAAAAAAGACAAAGTACTGTGATACAAAATATAATCAAACTAGTTATAAAACATATAATCCCTCAAAGGTTTTAGAAATTTTAGACATGGCTTTAATATTTTTAATATATTTTTAAATGAATATAGTATTAATTTTAGATACATTTTGCTTAAATCTTATTGAAAATGAATGAATTTGTGTTTTTTTTAATTAAATTCATATAAAAGACGTTACAAATCCTATATAATTATGTGTTGCTAAATTGTAAAGTTGTAACTTCTATTAGCATAAGATGAAATGATGAAAGAGATAATGCATTCTTTTAAAATAAGAAACAGTGCTATAAAAAAGTTACAACAGAAACTACCTACCTTGATTTAGAATAAATTGAGTTTATAGGATATTATAATTAAAATTAAAAGTAAATGCATTTTATTCTTTTTTTATTTATTTTATACATTTTTTTTATCATTTCACGTCATATTATAAATCTTTGAGTTTTTAAAAACATCCTTGTGTCATATATAGCATCTCTTCCGCGCCGTGTAGTACGCTTTAATTCATTATATTTTATTATGCACAGAATCTTCAACCCTAGTAGGTTATATCTAAAACAAGATGTAGGAAAGATTATTCCTAATTTTTTACATTTCACTATCTCCACTTTTTTTTTAAGATTTTGGAAAGTGAAAGAATTCTTAGAACTCACATAACTATCTTGCAACTCCTTCAAAGACGACGATACATGTAAGAAAGAGTTTAATTTTAGGAAGACAACATTCCAACTCTTCTTGTCATGTTCAATGTTTATTAAGTTTTTTAATTCATCACACATATATATTCCCAAATTTTCTGACGAGATCAAGATTTTAGCCATGGATGATGTAAATAAGGAGTCCATCTTCGGACATAAGAATAATTGAAGGCGATGTAAGCTTAGATAAAGAGAAAAATCTGGAAACGAAGATGAAATGTTTTAGATAAACAATTAATTTTATAAATATAAGATTGTATGAAATTTTATTTAATTAATTAAGATTTAAAAATATTATTTCTAAATTTTTTAAGTCGTCACGATATCATTATCAAACTTTTATTATTAATTATTTATGGTTTAAATTCAACATTGTTATAATTTTATCATGAAAATTATTCTTACTAGATATTAGATTTTATTCAATTAATTACCATTAAAAAACTACAAGTTACTTTTTTAAGCTGTCGCATGATTAAAGATTTTATTTAAATGTCTCTAAATGACTATTACCAAACTTTTAATACTAACCATTTATTGTCTAAATTCATGTTCTTATAATTTTATTAGGAGATTGGATATAAGATTTTATTTAATTAGTTAACGTTAAAAAAAATTACATCTTACTTTTTTAAGTTATCATACGACTATTATCAAATTTTAATCTTAACTATTCATGTATGATTGTATAATCTATATTTAGTGTTATAATAATTGTTGAAAGACATGTTCAAGAAGAAAAAAGATAAAATATAAAATTTTTTATGTTTCGAATAATCAACCACTAATATACAAAACATATTTCTTATTCAATCATATTTTTACATGAACAAAGACATGATAATACATCCTTTTAAAATAAAAAAATGGGTGTTATAAAAAAGTTACGACTAAAATTACTTACTTTGATCTAGAGTAACTTAAGTTTATAAGATGTTACAATTAAAATTGAAAGTAAATGTATTTTATTTTTTATTTATTTATTTTATATATTTCTTTATCATTTCACATTATATTATAAATCTTTGAGTTTCCAAAGATATTCTTGATGTTTTCGCTTTCTCTTCCTAAGCCTTGTTATTGCCACAGTCCATCTGAGACATTGGCGTTGACTGCAAATGCGAAACATAATATTTTTTTAAGCATGACTATAGATTTTATTTAAATAATTAAGATTTAAAAATATTGTTTCTAAATTTTTTAAGTCTTTGTGACACTGTTATCAAACTTTTATTACTGATTATTTATGATTTAAATTCAACGTTGTTATAATTTTATTATGAGAACTATGCTTATTAGATATTATATTTTATTTAATCAATTAACATTAAAAAAATTACAAGTTACTTATTTAAGTTGTGTGTGATTACTTTTTTATGTTGTCAAGTGACTGAAGATTTTATTTAAATGTCTCTAAATTTTTAAAGTCATTATGTGACCAAAAACAAACTTTTAATATTAATCATTTATTGTTTAAATTTAATTTCTTAAATTTTATTAAGAGATTGGATATAAGATTTTATTTAATTAATTAACGTTATAAAAAAATTATATCTTTCTTTTTTAAGTCATTATTACTATCATCAAATTTCAATCTTGACTATTTATGTATAATTGTATTTATAATAGTTGTTGAAAGACATATTCAAGAAGCAAAAATATGAACTACAAAATTTTGTATGCTTTAAACAATCAACTAACAATATATAGAACATCTTTTTTATTCAACCCTATCTTTACATGAACAAAGACTTGATAATGCATTTTTTTAAAATAAGAAACGGATGTTGTAAAAAAGTTACACCTAAAACTACTCTGATCTAGAATAAATTGAGTTTATAAAATATTATAAATTGAGTTTATAATAAATTGAAAGTAAATACATTTTATTCTTTATCTAATTTATTTTATACATTTTGTTTATCATTTTACATCATATCATAAATCTTTGAGTTTCTAAAAATATTTTTGTGTTATATATAGCATCTACTCCACGAGTAATCTAAAGTTTCACAATATTCTTGTGTTAGATTTTATTTAATCAATTAATATTAAAAAAATTACAAATTACTTTTTTAACTTGTCGCTGAAATTTTAATTTAAATATCTCTAAATTTTTTAAGTTATTATGTGACCATTACCAAACTTTTAATATTAATCATATATTGTCTAAATTTAAGTTCTTATAATTTTATTAAGAGATTAGATATTAGATTTTATTTAATCAATTAACATTAAAAAAATTACAAATTACTTTACATTACAATAAATATAATGTTATTTTTAGATATATTTTACTTAAATTTTATTGAAAATGAATGAATTTGTATTTTTTAATTAAATTCATATAAAAGACATTAAAAATCATATATAAGTATGTGTTGATAGATTGACAAAGTTTTAACTTTTATTTACAAAAGATAATACAATTTTTTTATTTGAGAATAGTGTTATAAAAAGTTACAATTGAAACTATCTTTAATCTACAGCGTAACTTAAGTTTATAAGATATTATAATTAAAATTAAATGTAAATATATTTTATTTTTTAATTTATTTTATACACTTATTTATCATTCCAAAGCATATCATAAATCTTTAAGTTTAAATTGCCAAAATATTCTCTTATTATACACAAGCATTTTAACGATAAAATAATTTTATTATATTATAAAATATTTAAAAAAATAACATAATAGTTTGAATTATCTTATTCTCGTATTTCTCACATATATCTGAAATTCCTAATCATACACACAATCATTTTTAAACTTTGTTACAATCAAATAATGAACATATGACACTATTTGACTCCAAGATAAAAAAAAAGTTTATAAAATAACATAAAAAAAGAATCGAATATTTTAACCTTAAATTTCAATTATAATATCATATAAACTCATTTTATGTTATAAATAAAAGGCAGTTTCAGTTGTAACTATTTTATTATACACATTTTCTCATTAAAAAAATCATTATCCATTATCATGAAAGATTAAGGTGGATATTTCTTACTGTGCTCATGATACATTGAGCATAATAAATGAATTATTTAATTTATAACCGGATTTTTTTTTACCATAATTTGACTGAAGAGGAACTGGCAAGATTACAAAATTACAACTTTGACCATCTGGTTTCAATTGAACTCTTAGTCTCTCATTATTAATGCTTTTTCTTTATATTAAATATTATATTGGATGACATATGCACTAACTTTATTTGGATGTTTATTTTATTTCCCTTGTTTTAAATTTAGAATTCTGTTTATCCTAAATGCTTTTTAGGAATCAGATTAGAAGGCCTAAAATAATATTTCATGTTTTAGTTTTTGTATGTTTCTCGGATCTTATAGTTCTCCTTGTAGTTTTATTATGATTCTAAAAATAAGTTTTTAAATTTAGTTTCTAAAATTATTAATTAATTTTTAAAAATAAATTTCCAAAATTAAGATTTTTTATTTCCGAAACAAGTTTATGAAATCAAAATTTTACACTCCAAAAATTAGTTTCCAAAATTATTTTTTCATATTTCTAGAATTTAATTTCTAGAATTGTCAACTATTTTTTGGAAATAAATTTTTGCACTGAAATTGAAAAATTAAAAAATTTATTTTATCACCATGAAAAATATTTAAAAAAAATATAAAAAATTATCTTTGTGTGAAAAGAAAAGAAAAAAAGGATAAAAAAGCACCCCTCTTATTCTAATGAAATGTAGTTGACAGGAGAAAAAAACCTGCCGCCTGATAATTACTTGTATATTAAACAAAGAAAATTGGCCCATCAAATCATATACAATACACATTATAATTTCTCTTCTCCTCCTAAAATCGTGCAGAGACATGGTGAATCATATTAATTAATATATCTTTAGCTTCTGATTTTTGGTACTTCAAATTAACCTTTTCTTTTTTCTTAGCATAGTAATGCAGGCAGCAATCTGCTTTTGAGGACCTTTTAGAAGAATGAGCACCAATTAGCGTAATTCAATCGGTGTTAAATTGTTGGCCAAATGAAAATATATCACACTATCCAACATGATTGATTGATTCGTCAAAACCTTTACCGGGTGTGTCACTTTTCTGCCTGCTATGTTTTCTTAATGCTTAAACATCCAATGTAGCACATGCATGGTTTAATATCGCGGGACAATACTATACTCGCATGCATGCAACCATTTGACTAAGTCTTAAGAGGTACATCCTTAAACATTAAGCAATGAACATTCAAAATTAAAACATCAACGTAACCAACTTTAGCTCTTCTATATCACCTTTCGCCAATACCCAGAAAAACACAGGGTCCCCACTCCACTGTTTATTAACTCAACTGAAAAAGCTTTTTCTTTTTTTCTTTTCAATTCCCTTGAATCATCAACACCCCTTTTAGAATAAATAAACATATCACTATCTCTTCCTCATCACTTTGTTTGATCAGTGGCTTTTTTTAGAAGTGTTGTTTACCTATTCAAACATGCCAACTCTCTCTCCCTCTCCCTTAGAGCAAACTACACAAGCCTCTCTTGAAAAACATGACATATCAAAACAACTAAGGAATCAACATTCTCGGGTATCAGAAGCACCAAATTCCCTTACCAACCCTCGGGTAATACTTGGACAACCTCAACTTCAAAGGACCAAACCAATTATATGGTGTGCTGCAGTGCTGTGCTTCATATTCAGCCTTGTACTTATCTTCTTTGGAATTGCAACATTGATTGTATACTTTGCCATCAAACCAAGAAACCCCACGTTTGACATTCCCAATGCAAGCCTCAATGTAGTATATTTTGACTCACCACAGTATCTCAATGGTGAATTCACTCTCCTTGCAAATTTTTCTAATCCTAACAGGAGATTTCACGTGAGGTTTGAGTCCTTGAAAGTTGAGCTTTTCTTCTCAGACAGGCTCATATCATCACAGTCAATCAAGCCTTTTACTCAGAGGCCAAGGGAAACCAGGTTGCAACCAGTGAACTTCATATCTAGCTTGGTGTTTTTGCCTCAAGATGTTGGTGTGAAACTTCAAAGGCAGGTGCAAAACAACAGGGTCAACTACAATGCAAGGGGTACATTTAAGGTGAGGGTCAACATGGGACTAATCCATATATCTTACTGGCTGCATAGCATATGCCAGATTGAGATGACATGTCCACCAACAGGAATTCTAGTAGCCAGACAATGCGTAACATATCGATGAATAGGCAGGGTAGAATTTTGTGCTTGTTTATTACTTTCTACTCTCCAGTCGCTACTTTATTAGGATCTGTAGCTAATTGTAAATACCAGTGTGCAATACAGTAATATGGTTCTTACGAGAAATGGAAGAGAAAGAAAGATGATTAGATGATACCATAAACCATTTGATTTTTTTTTTAATTTGTTGATAGAAACTTAGGTAGAGGGTGCCGATGCCCTTTGATACCAGAAATATGTTGTAGGTGGATTTTGTTTTCATCTACTCGTATCAATTTAAGAGTTTCTCTTCAGAAGGGGATGATAACTTCCAAGTCTCTCTAAAGCAAGCATTGAATTCTAACCTTTTAATACTTTATTTTGTTTCCTTAATTATGTTGTGTCAGCTGCACTAATTGGAATCCTTTTTTGACTGTATAAAAGAGCGAAAGCCAAATTGTGAAAAGCAGAAAAGGACTTGTCAGAATTGATCATTGACGTGGTATCAACTAGAATTTCAAAAGTTGCATAATTTATTGAGGTGAGTCTTACATCCCAAAATCATGTCTTGTTGATCCAGAATCTTCGAAGCATACATTTACATTAATTTAATCACATACAGTTCCCTCGGAGGCCAATAAAGCATATGAATAGTAGGAATATTAGCAGAATATTCTTGTCCTGCTAGTGATTTGTGACTCACCAAAACATTACTTCTGGTTAGCACCACTAAGCGGATTTTGGGCTATCAAAATAAAATTTATAGAAAAATAATTATACGAATTTTCTTAAGCTAACTAAGCAATCATTAATTTATAACAGGTGCATGCAGTAACTAGGTGGTACAACGGATACATTTCCTTTTGAGCATTTCGTGTTTCTTTCCTTATTTTTAAATCCTTTTGTTCTAGCTGTTGCTAAAAGAATGTGCAATGGTGAAAATTTTGGGAGCTAAAATTACATGGACTAATATAAATTACTATTTTCCACCGTCGTATGTTCAGTAATTTTACATTTTATAACGTATATATTGCTGTTTCTGATTATATACCAGCCTCCCTCTTTACATAATTATTTGAGTGCTACGCCATCATCGTTTGACATTAAAATTAATTCCTATAACATAAACACTTTTTTTTTTATCAAGCTTCTATAATACAAATTGATATCTCTAAAATAATATTTTTAACGTGAGTTCAAGGATATCCGCTAAAACATCAAAATAGTAAATTTTTACTAAAATTTGTAGCACTGAATATTCTCAATACATTGAATCTTGTAATTTTTAATAAAAACTTACTATTATATATGTTCTTGTTACGTGCCTTTCAGCAAGTATTAGAAAAAACATTTGTAAAATATGTAACCCAAAAATAAGCATGTTAATTAGAAGCAAATGCTTAAGCTGCATCATACATATGGCAGAATGCACCCAGCCCAAGTCAGTGCCCAACACCGTGTAGAAGCCTAATACTTGTAGTTTGTGACATGCAAACTCTCGGAAGCCAACCCAGTTCCGCTTCCCCCGGCATACTTCCCAAGAGTAGCCTCAGAATTGGCCTTGCATCTTGCTAGAAATGCCTCTTGAGCTTTGGCAACATTCTCTCTCTTTCCAGCCCATGTCTTGAGTGTGCTTTGCTGCAGTGCTCTCCCAAATGAGAATGAGAGAGTCCATGGCTTCAACACCTCCAACTGGTTCATTGCATTGAGGTTGAGCGTGGCTTCTTCTTCACTTTGTCCACCCGACAGAAATACAATCCCTGGTACTGCAGCTGGGACAGTTCTGCGGAGTGCTTGAACTGTGTACTCAGCAATCACCTTAGGTGGCACCTGCATAGACATGCAATGTTTTTTTCACGAAATATCAACGTGGCACAGTACTCGTTACCGTTTCAAAGTTCTATCTCTACGGCTAACAACAATAATTTTAAGTATTCAATATTCGACCATTGAAAATGCATGGATGTGATGTGAGTAATATGAAAACATATAAGAGTTGCTGAGTGCTAACTATGCTTCAGGTTCAATTTTGGCTGCAATCATTTTGAAAATATTGTTGTTTACCTTTGGGCTAACAGAGCCAGGGGTAACCATGTTGGGCTTGAGAAGGGTTCCTTCAAGAAGAACATGATGATCATTCAATGCCTTGTAAACAGCTGCAAGCACAGTTTCAGTAACAGCAGCACATTTGGCAATGTCATGAGCTCCATCAGTCAAAATCTCAGGCTCAACAATAGGCACAAGACCGTTCTCCTGGCAAATGATGGCATAGCGAGCCAAGCCTTGTGCATTTTGCTGGATGGACAACTCAGAGGGCTCATTGGGGCCAATCTTGAGGACTGCACGCCACTTGGCAAAGCGTGCACCAGCCTTGTAGTACTGCTGGCAACGAACTCCAAGAGAGTCAAGGCCTTGGGTGGTGGTTTCTCCGTTTGTGCCAGCCAACTCAACAACACCCTTGTCGACTTTGATGCCTGGGATGACATTGTTCTCTTGAAGGACCTCAACAAAAGGCTTCCCATCAGAGGTTTTCTGGTAAAGAGTTTCCTCAAAGAGGATGACACCAGAGAGGTATTGGAGGGTATTGGGAGAGGTGAATAGAAGCTCACGAAGGGCTTGGCGATTGGCCTCAATGTTCTCAACATTAATGCTGGCTAGACGCTTGCCAATGGTGCCAGTGCTCTCATCTGCTGCCAAGATGCCCTTGCCAGGGGTGGCTATGTACTTGGCATTCTTGATAAGCTCATCTGGATATAACATCCCAATTAGAAACTAAAGAATAGTGAATACATAAACTTGAAAAAGATTGAAATTGAGGGAACACTACTTCTGAAAACCTACCGTTATGCTACATTTCTCGGTTTCTAGCTTCTTATTAATCAGTCAGTATTTTAAAGTGGAACATTTGACAAGCTCGTAGTTCAAAGAAGAATTTTTCTTGTTTAGGTGCGTCGATAGTGTGTGAGAGATGTAGAGATAGAAGAATGAGTAACCTTATGAAAATCAGAGACGAGAGTACCTGCATACTTTCCAACAAAGGCAGACATGGTTCAAGCTTTGAAAATGGTATTGGATGGCGGGAAACAGATAACAGACGACAGCACAAAAACCGAGTTTGGCCAATACCAAAGCTATATAGATAAATCTCAAAGGAATATACCAAGAGGTATCTACCCAACCCATGCAAAAGCAACACGTGTCCATTGATTAGCCTAACGAAGGTTATCACTCTTGGATAAAGGAACGAGTGATCCTTCCCCTAGCCACGTGGCAGTTCATTCTTTTCAATAATGTATATTCCACTCACCTCATGGTAGATAAAATAGAATTTTGTGGAAAGGTCTTGCCCGTCATCCTCCTGGACCTGGCTTACTTCCAATATTACAAGCCTTACAAATTAGATATCGACCTAAAGGATATTATGTTAGATTGTTTGCGGAACTCTGTCTCAGCCACATTATTTTTATTTTATTCATTTTGTCCTTTTTCAGAATCAAGCTCCATCCTCAACCTATATTTTCATGCAATTTACCCCCACCGTATAATATCTTTCTCAATTGTGAGTGATTGAAGACACCGCTACCTACCCAAACTTGGGTGTTCAAGACACTGTATTACTGGACTAAAACTAAACTGAAGAATTTACATATTCATTTCTATATATAAAGTAAAAATCTCAGAATTCATAAACATGTATATTGATAAGCCAGTATCCGGCAAAGAATAAGTTCGAAGAAAATTTCTGGTAAAATAATAAAAGGTAACACAAAATTTGCTTTGGAGTATTCCATGTATGCATCTATTTGTAAAACAAAACAAAAGGATTTTGATCAAAATTGATTTAGAACTAGAACTGAGCCCAGCAGAGTCTTAATTCAGCAAATTTTGGCCATCTTGTAGTGAACGTCTCACTAATGATGATCAACCGAAAAGTATTGTAGATTTCGCCCAAGTATATCTACTGTGAAGGGGCCACCACCTGCTGGTCATCATCATCAGTTCCAAAGTAACGATCCCCAAACTCGCCCATACCAGGTATGACACGGAAATCTTTATTCAAACAAATGTCAATCTCAGATGTCACAATTTTTATTCTCGGAAAACTTTTGCAGACCACATGAACTCCTTGAGGTGCCTGGCAAGTTGAGAGCATTTATGTAAATCATCAGATATAAGAAAAGAAAGCAAGAGTAAGAAACAAAATTGGCGAGACATACAGAGGAACTACAGACATATTAACTTACTGATATGAGATTGAGAAATATAATGTTTGACTCTGGAACACCATTCCTTAAAAGTAAAGAAATTGCTTGAACAGCCGAATTACCTAAAGATCAAGATATTCTGAAGTTAATCAAAACAAAAAATATCCTTATTATGCTGACTGCTGTGTAACTTAAAAGTTGCAGTTGGCTGCTGATAGTTCATTTACTTATTTACACAATGTCAAATATTTAAACCATTAGTAATATTCATAAAAGTAGACATTACGTGAATGACAAACCTGTGCCTAAGATAGGATCCAACAGTAATACATGCCTATCTGAGATATCATTGGGCAACTTCTCATATATTAGCTGCTCAATAATCAAAGGATAAGTTAGTGATTGTGAAAGAAAACAAACACACATATACTCAAGCGCACACAAAAATGACAAACCTGTTGACCATTGTCACCTTCTCTATGAATAAGAATTTTACCAATCTTGATTCCTTTGCAGCATGCTCGTAGAGCATTTTCCATACTCTCCCCACTTAAATTAAATCAATATCAAATTCATAAGGACAGAATTCTTTTCTAAACAATAAATTTTCTTTATTAAAAAATTGCAGTGATTATAGTTTCACATAAACCCAAGTACAGGAAAGAAATAGATTGTTTCTTAAAATATGAAGAGGGATGGATTTTGAGAAGTAGCAATATATGCAATCTAAACAATTTGGTAATCATAAATCCAAATAAAAAATAGATCTTTCTCTTTATTGAATTGTTCAAGAAAATATTTTAATACGGATGACAATATTTAATCAAAAACCAAAGTGACTTCTGATTTGGACTAGAATAATACCTCCGGATGATGGAGACACCACACAACCTCTTACAGAAATCCACACCACTGTATACCGACCCTGCATTGAAGGAGAAGAATTATTTGTTACCATAAAAAGGTTCACCCATGAAACAAACTTAATTCTATTTTGTAAATATCTGAACAAGAATGTCAGCTACACAGCTGCAGGCTGGAATTTTTTTTTTCCAGTATGGCAATTGCTGCAATTAACATCATGAACAACAGATAGTGTCTCTCAAGGACAATAACATAAAACACCTTTGGTTCCCATTCTATCAAGAAGCATTTCTTTTATTTCTTTAACATGGAATTCAGACTGCAGAAGTGATCTTTAGTCCTTCCAAGACGTCCAAGACATAGGTTTGACATTTCTAGAAGGATGAAGAAATGTAGCTCATGTTACTTCTCACTTGTGTACCAATAATATGGCAGCGCTTAAGAAACCAGAGATGCCAACAGGCACATCATCTACGACCCTTTCCAGTGAAATGAGAAGAGAATAATGCATCCTCAAAGGTTACATATAATACAAGTCAAGGAAACATCATTGAAAAAGAAATACTAACCAGTTGGAGTGATTACTTGCTTTTCTGTAAATGGAAGATGCCCTAGGCCATGTTCTACAACCTGGTCAAGTGAGGTAAATGTGACCATTAATGCCTGACAAAAAATGCCATTCCACCACTAAAATTAACAAAGCAACAACCCCACATACATACCAAACGAATCAAACGGTCAGAATAAAATACAAAGTCATGTTTTGTTATCTGAGAATCACGAATCAGGGTATGCATACCCCGTATCTGCATCAAAGCAATTCATGTGATAATTTAACTTTTAATAAAATCAAATTTGGGGCTCCAGCTGGACTGGGGAAGATAAAATGATTGAAAAGGTCAATTAATAACGAGAAAAGTGGGTACCTGAAAAGTAGACTGAATGACATATAAGTTAGGATATATTTTACACAAGTCATGCTGACCAAGCTTTGTGCGAATATGCTGAACAATCAAGTCAATAGCCACATGATTATCTCCTCCACGGGGAATAATGATATCAGCATACTTCTTTGTGGGAAGAATAAAGTCATCAAAAGCTGGCTTCACAAATTTAGAATACTGCATCAAGTATATTATAAAAATCAGTTACTAAAATATGGTAAAATTAAAAATATATATTAGCTTAATTAGTATTATGACAGCGACAAAATAATTCCTTAAATATTTAATTCCATAAAAGCTGAATATTTACAAGTTTCCTAATCAACAAAAGTGCATATTAGCTTATCAGCAGCATCAACTAAAATAACATTTCCAAAGTCTTGCAAAGCAATGCATGTAGGAAATGTGAAGGCACCAAAACCACTAATCAAAATGTGATAATGGTAAACTGACAGTAGTTACCTGATCAAGCACAGCTCCAATATCACGAGCATTCTCAGCAGTATCACGCTTAATCCTTCTTGCCAAACGAACATCCGCATCTGCACTGAACATTTCACAGCGTGAAGTGATACCCTAACTTAGTTGTTGAACAAAGATATAAATTATGCATGCTTGTAAAATGACTAGAAGAAAGACAGGCAACTATTAATAAAATAGGAACAAACAAAAAAATGGACAAAAAAAAAGATATAGAATGTCAATAGAACATGAACAACAATCAAGAATATGCACTATCCTCTCCTGTATCATAATGTGGATTAGGAGGTAAGGAGGAAAAAATAAGTCCATGGGATAAATAGGAAAATGATTACGACAAGAGATCCCATACAAAGTAAGGAATGTCACAAAAAACATACAATATATATTGGAACAAAAATAATAAGGGACCTGTGTCAACAAATATCTTCATATTCATCAATGCCCGAACACGCGGATCATGGAAAACAAGGATACCTTCCAAAATTATAACATCTGCAGGGTTTACCTGCAAAACACATTAAACCAACATTAAATGGAAGCACGGATTTGTTATTCCATATAAATTTGCCCACTACCGGAGATAAAAGGCCAGAAAAATATGTACTGCATGATTTGGCAATCATTAGTGCATCAAAAATTCAAATTCAAATATGAAAATATTTGTCATGCTACACCAATATAATTTATCCTTGCACTATGACCAAAAAAATATATTCTTTAGCATGACAAAACTCAAAAATAGAATACTATTACAATCTTGGCCTGTTAAGCATTTGAGGAAAAAGGAGTAAAGCAATTAATAAAAAAATGAAAGTCCCAGATACCCTTCTTGCTGGAAACACATCGCTTTTGTAACCCTTAAAGTCATACTTTGGAATATCTACTGCTTGGCCATGCTTCAACTTGTCCATGACACATAGCAATTGCTTGGTATCAAAAGCTTCTGACGATATCAACAACATGCATTAGAAATAATGTAGGGAGCTATGGCAGTCCAAGAATTCACATATGTATTAAAAAAATCAAACATAAAATTTTCCATATCAAAGTTGCTATCTTAACAACTTTTAGATGTATTACATTCACCATTAACAGTAGCTAAGTCCTTAAGTCTCATCACATAAAATGAAGTGTTTTACCTCTGGAATGCATATAACACAATTTAAGCAACACTCTGACATGTAAAATATGCCGCAGTTTCACCAACCATATTTATCTCTAAGCTAAATTTGAGAATATTCTAGGTTTGAAACGTCAATAAATTAATACTTAATTTCAGGTCTCTATTCTCTAATCATCTAATGTTAAGGTAAATTATTCTTTAAATCTTTCAGAAGTTAATTTTTCACCAGCACCATCCTTGATGTTCCAAAAGAGATTCTAAGAGTAAGGAAGATGCAGTTGGGACTCATTGAATGTAGTGAATTTGTTCTGCAAGAAATTAAAGTATCTAAGGAGAACTATAAGACCTGAGAAACATAAAAATACTAAAACATGAAATATTATTTTAGGCTTTCTAACCTGATTGTTAAAAAAAAAATTAGGATAAACAGAATTCTAGATTTAAAACAAAGGAAATAAAATAAACATTCAAATAAAGTTAGTGCA